CCCCCAAGCCTTTCCCCTCCCTGCCACCAGCCACCCAAAGTTCTAGAAGGCACATTCACAGCCGATGCTTTCTTGCCTTGAGAATCAGGAATGAGAAAATCATCCCTTAAACATGAAAAGACACTTCTGAACTTTCCTTCCTGCAGTTTGACAATGGGGAGTTACCTATAGAGGGATGGACACACGACTCCCTTGCAAAGGTGATCAATTGAAAAGAAGCATCTAAGCAAAAAGTTTCAGGGTGGCAGGGATCTCTCCTACCAACACAGGCATCCCACGTCCCGACCACCACCACCCTCTTGAAACCCTCCCAGGCACTTACTTCGAGGCCAGTGAGCTGAAGGGAAGCAGCAAACCTGTCCCAGAGCGCCGGTGGCTGGCGAGAGTGCACTGGGGGACTGACAGCTAGGCAGGCGGGCTGGCGGCCGGCCGGGCTGGCCGGAGGGCGGGGCGAGGGCACGGCGCCCCCTATGGCTAAAGTCCCATTAGGACACTGCAGAGCGGAGCTGGAAGCTGGACTCCGAACCTCGCCAAGCCCCTCCCCTAAATCGCCTGACTTCCCTCTTGAGTAATCAGCACCCAGCAGTTCCCCCTCTTCAAACCCTACTTTCTGGTGCTCCTCCAAGCCGCCCCTTCTTCAAGGCCATTTCCCCTTTTCAGTGGTCCAAGTTAGCGATGGTTCTGGGTCTCTGCAGCCTCCAACATTTCAGTTTAGGAGGGAGGAAAGGGATGAGGCAGTTCACTTTAATGCAACTGGAAGCAATTTTTAAAAATCTTAATGTTGAAGTTTGAAAGCATTGAAAGCTTTATAGAGAATTCAAATCTCCAGAGTAAAAAAAAAAAAAAAAAGATTAAAAGTCATTAATAAAATTACCTTCCATTGAACTTCACTTTTACTGCTTCACTGTCATAAAAGGCTGGCAAGGTGTTAGCTAAGCTCACCTATAGTCTTCCCTATCTGTTACCCTGACAAGTTATTTCCTCACTCTCATGTCCACATTCAAAATGGAGTTGGAGAGATGACATTGCATCAGTTCATTACACAATCTGCTTAGAATGGCTTTGACACAGTCGTGTAAGGGTGTGTTTCAGGAAGGCATGGGCACTTTTTTTTTAAAGATTTTTATTTATTTATGCATACAGAACTGGGGTACAAGTCAAAGGTGCAAGGGCGGTGAGAGGATTCACCAGAGACAGAATGGGGTGCAGAACTGGCACATCCACAAAATACACTGCAGAGGGGAGCAGCAGGTGGGTCAGGAGAGGTCTGCCTCCCTGGCTGGGGATCAAACTCCTGAAGTGGCTGCAGCTAGATTTGTAGTGCTGCTTTAACCCATTGTGCCACCCAGGGGGGCCCACCATAGGCATTTCAACACTGGTATCTAGATTAGAGCAGTCCCCAATTTTTCTGTCACTACAGTAATTATGGATCTTGCTTCCATGACTTTATCTAAAAATGTTTAAGCATTTATGGTTCTGCTTTATTTTATCCATGCATCACAATACTTCTTAGACATTTCCCACCTGCTCTCTGTGGTATGCTTACTTTGGCTTGAGTTGTTGTTGTTGTTTTTGTTTGTTTGTTTGTTTAAATACAAACCTTTTTTTTTTTTTTTAAGATTTATTTATCCATGCATACAAGACCTGGAGTACAGGCCTGAGGTGTGGGAGTGTGAGAGGATTCACCAGAGAGAGAGCAAGGAGCAGAACAGGCAGATTGACGAAATACACTGCTGAGGTGAGCAGCGGGAAGGCCAGGAGTGGTCTGTTGTGCCATGTGGTCACCTCCCTGGCCGGGTTCTAGCTCATGCTGCGGTGGCTGGGCTGTGGATAGCTTCACAGTGCTAAGCTTTAACATGTTGCACCACTGGAGAGGGTCCTTTGGGTGGTAATTTTATTTCCTTTAGCAATGCCTTAAGGCATAGCTGTGTAGGACTGGATAGACAAGTCTACTCTCTACCCAAAAAGGAAGAATTATTAGTTTGCACTAGGAAAAAAAAAATAATCACAAGCCTGATAAGATTTTTCCACATAAACATGTCAACAGAAAGTTTAGAAAATCTAGCACCAGAGGACATTAGTGTTTCTTTTTCATGTCTATATCTTTTGAAAACTACATTTATTCACTTATCTCAGTAAAGTACAGTGGAACCCTGCCGTATCACTGACTGGAATAAGGCAGAATTTGAGATAAACTTATGAATTCTCACCAAAAGATTCCAGAACTACAAGTATTTAGAAGACTCTTCATTTATTATGAGGTGATAGAGCTCAACTCTTTTGGATAGCATTAGAGAACAGAAAAGTATATTTTAGTAATTTGATCTATAGAATTTTAATAAGTAGTTTTAAACATGTTTTTCAAAAGAAGGGAGTACTTCATCAGAAGTTCTAATTGTAAAAGGTACTAAAGCTAATCAATGAATAAATACTGAGATTCTGCTATTAAAAGCATGAATTATTGCTTGTCTGCTCTCTCTCTCCACACACATACACACATCTATATATACACCATCTTTAATATAATATTAGTACTTGGTTATAATGCATTTAATTGAATAGGCATTTATAGAGCTACCTTCAAGGTCCTGGACTTGATGCTAAAATTTAAAACTAAAATAAATAACATCAAATAATTGTCCTTGAGGAATCTGTAATTTAGCAAACAACTTACCCAAAGTAAGTAGTTGCTGCTAAACTTGTGGAACAAGATATTTCAATGCAGAAAACAGAACAATTGGGCATGAGTAGGGCACTAACAGGAAAAGGGCTGTTATTTTGGGTAAAGAGAAAGTGTCAGACTTTCAATCTCTCTGCTCACTACCAATTTAAACCTCTAATGAAATCTTTCAGGGAAACTTGATCCAAGGTTTGGAACAAAGAATTCCTTAGCAAATAATAAAACAATTTAAAAGGCCACTGATTTGGGGTGGGGAGAGCAAAGGTCATTCAGCAAAGAGTAGTTGCAACAACAAAGAAAAGAGAGATCAAATCAGAAAGATCTGGAAGAAAAAGCATTACAACACTAGTAATCCCTACCTTTTAAAAAAAGACAGGAAAAATATTTGAAAGTGTGGCCATCACCAGGAGACAATGCTTCCTGTAAATGAGAAGGAAGTGGGGACATAGGTGTTCATTACTCTTTATAGTTTCAGATCTTTGTTATTACCCTTAAAGTCAAGGAAGATGTACACAATCTCAAATTTGAGATATTTCTTGGATATTTCAGGAAACATGAGAACATGACTTAAAATTAGAGGAAGCAAACAGTGAAATAAAAATTCACGTTCTAAACATATATAGAGGAAGCAAAAAGTGAAATAAAAACTCACATTCTAAACATGCATATATATAAATGTTGTTTATTTCTTCCAAAAACCCTAAAAGGGGTTCTTATTTCTTCTATTTTACAGATGAACATTCTGAATCCAAAGTAGTTTGGATATTGCACTAACTTTTGAATCTGATACCTGCAGGAAGTAAAAGTACCTACAATGAGAGGAAAAGGACTAGAAAATGGTAAAACTAATGAAGCTAATTAATACACTATAGCAAGCATAAAGCATAGACATGTAGATCAAAAGAACAGAAGAGATATGGAATCATACTTGACTGGTCAAATATTTTCAAGAAAGGTATTATGACAATTCAAAGGAAAGAGAAAACTTTTCAACAAATGGAAATGGAACAACTGCATATCCATAATCAAAAAAAAAAAAGTACTTCAATCCTTTATTCACACCGCATACCAAATTAATTCAAGAGGGATGACAGACTTAAAGTCTAACACTATGAAACTCCTAGAAGAAAACAAAGGAGAACGTCTACATGACCTTGAGGTAGGCAAAGATTTCTTAGTCTGTAGACAAAAAGTATCATCTTTAGAAAAAAAAAAATTGACAAACTGGGCTTCCTATAAATTACAGTGTTTGCTCATTAAAGGACACCCCTAAATGGTATAGCAGACATCTCCTGTCTCTCCACTGCTCCCTCAGCAGTGTACTTTGTCATTTTGCCTGTTCTGCTCCCGGCTCTGTCTCTGGTGAATCATCTCACTGCCTCTACACGTCTGGCAGCCTGTACCTCAGTTTTGTATACATAAGTAAAAATAAATAAATCTTTTTAAAAACAAAAAACAAAAAGACACCCTAAAAGATGAATAGGCAACAAAAAAATTGGGAGAAAATTCTCAATGTATTTATCTGACAAAGCACCTGTAGGCAAATGATGTAAAGAATAACTATGACAATAATTAAGAGATAAAAATATACTGTTAAAAATTATGAAAATGATTTGACAGACACTTCACAAAATGAATCTGTGAGGATATTAAAGAAGTATATGCAAAGGTGTTTAGTGTCATTAATGTCACAGAGATTCAAATCTAAAACATGAGTTACTCCTCCCCAAACATTAAAATGGCAAGAGGGAAGATGATAGACAAAATCAAATGAGAGTCTGAAGCAAATGAAATTTTTTTATGTTGCCCATGAGAATATATGCAACACCCACCCTAGGAAAACTGGTAGTTTCTTATAAAAACAGACCTATGCCAGATTCCAGCAATTCCACTCCCAGGTATTACCCAAGGAAACTGTGGACATATAAACACAAAAAGGACCAGTCAAGAAATTCTTCTCAGCTACATTCTTAATTGCCAAAACCTGGGAAAATCTAAATATCCATCAGCAGACTGGAAAAACAAATACTAAATGGATTCAGCATATGTGAACAATAACATGGCTGTATCTTAATACCATTTTAAATAATAGGAACACATATTGTATGATTTCAATTCCATGTCAATATTGGATTGAAACTATGGGAGGAAACACAGGTTAACATGTCATAGAAGAGTCTGAAATACAAGTTTATTTCTCTGTCTCTTCCTCCTCTAAGGAAAGAATAAATGCTGTTTTGCCCAGAGAGGGAAATTTTTTAAGAGCAATTGTCTACCAAGGGTCAAGAAGGACATCATCTTTTTCATTCAGTCAAGCAACAACACCCAATCTTGCCAAGATCTTCTGGCAAAGGTTTGTGACAACATGGAGACAAAATTCTTCCTTTGTGGGACCCATGTTGGTTTTTCCAGAAGTCCCCCGTACACCGATTCATGAACCCTACCAGAAGGACAGACACCTTATGCTACTAGAGTCACAAAATATTTAGAGGCTTAGAGTATGGAATCAGTGCCTTCACTCTAGGTGATATATTAGAGGCTTCCAAGCATTGAATTCACAGAGGCAAACCTGAAAATATTTCAATTTTAGAAAACAAGGACTATGTACCATATGTGAATATCACCAAAATTGCTTCTTTCACTTCTTTACTATCACATCCACTTACTGACAACAAGGACCAGCAATACTGACAAAGTTACCATCATTTCCACCTGAGCCTTTTTTGAGAAATATTAGATTCTTCCATGTGCAGAGAGAAATTGCTTGGTAAATCTTGTA